TGTGACTTGGTGAACTGCAGCTGCTCCTTCAACATGTCAATCTCCTTCTGGAGCTTCTCATTCTGTGCCTTTGCATTTCTCCCAAGACAAGAATGTGCAGGGTGGCGGCGATGAATGTGGCTCTGTAGAAAAGCTTGGTTCATAAAGGCTTTGTCACAAAGATGACACTCGTAATGACTGGCTTTGGCCTGGCCCATCATCAGCTGCTGGGCAGACAGCATCTTTTTCCGGTGCCTACATTCCTGCTTGAGCTGTCTGATCTCGTCAGCCTGCTTGGTGAGCAGCTGTTTGTTCTCCTCATAGCCACTCAGGCTCAGGTGCAACCGTTCCTCCACCACCCTCAGCTGTGAGGTGAGGAACTCTTGTGAGTGTATCAGGTACTCAATGGTGAGCTGTGCCATGCGGATGAGTTTCAACAGCAGTGGGTCCACCCCCAACTGGCAGTATGGGCACTTCTCATCCTCAAGCTTGCAGAAGGTGATGTTCGTGATGTTCTCCTGAAGCGTCAGAACATCCATGGTTCCCACCACCTTGTCCACGTCAATAGCGCCCAGTCGCCTCCAGTCCACTTTCTCCAGACGAGGCCGGAATTGGAAGAAGGGCAGGGGTCCAGAGGCTGAGACGGTGGTGACCAAGGCCCTGGTGGCTGCGCCTGCCTCTGGGCTGACACGCTTCTCTGGGTTGTTGGACTGAGGGCGGCAGATGTACTTCTCGAAGGGCATTCTAGAAAGCCAACCTGCCGCCTATACTCTGGCTGGAGGAGCAGGACAGTCTCTACAACCTCGCCAGGCCACCTGTAGTTCTAGGCCACCACACCCAGTGTAAGCAGGTGACCGATGGCCTGGATCCCTGCCGTAGCGGTTGCAGCCTGAAACCTAGATGCCCAAGGATGTTGCTATGGCAGCACGCAGCCTCATCCTGGAGCTCAAGGCCTATCTGCCTGCGAGCATCCAGACTGCACCAGAGGACCTTACAAACAGGGAGAGCTGCATTTGGAAAAACTTAAAAATCTTACAGCGACTTGCAGACCATAATACTCCCTCTTTGGGAGTCTTTGTGGTGGATGCAGTTGGGAGTGGAAGTGGGGGCTGTCTGTGGTTTCCATAGAGATCAACGAGCTGAGAAAAGCCAGGCATATTGGGCCAACCAGGAGGACTTTTGTTTTCCCCTTTCTCTTTTTTCTCTTTTTCACTTTCTTTTCGTTCTTTCTTCTTTCTTGCTTTGATTCTTTTTCTTCCCTTCCTTCCTTCCTTTCTTTCTTCCTTCCTTCCTTTCTTTCTTTCTTTCTTTCTTTCTTTCTTTCTTTCTTTCTTTCTT